AAGGACAGTTCTGCATTATGCCTGGATTTAGGAGGATGGCTTCACATTGATGCATGAGATCTGACGTGTTTACAAATACTTAATCCCTTAATCCAGAGTTCGAACCTAATGCAGAATTATCCTTCCCAGGTAATTTCCCTACTGAAAAGGGAGAAGTAAGCAGCTTGTTCATTCGTGTTGTGGATTTCCAGCTTAACATGAAATCCAGGCATCGTATTACAGCTACCGCCAAAGAATCAGGCCAGGCCACTGTGAGTGAGCATAACTTGGCCATCGCTTGAAAAAACAGCTAAACAGCTAAGAACGCTGCAGCTTTGATGATTCTTTTCTTTCCTACATAATTCCTGCCCAGTAATGGAAGAGATGGAAATAGACAGGTGAATAAAATCAAGTACTGGGCTCTAGAGACAAAGATAAATGCACTGTACAAATGAAAAAGATGGATACCAGACTGATCTCTAATCATCCGAACGTGTTCAGGAGCTCCAACTCACATTTACGAGCATTTTGCTCTCTGCTGAAATTCTAATTGTTTCCATCTCAATATCCTATTATTGAGATAATAGCAGCCTTGGATTTCTTTCATTCTCATAAAAATAAATTACTTCTACTTGCCCTTTTTGAATGTCCTTGTGAGGTCCTCTCTCAGATTTTCCATTAATATAAAGACAACTTGTATTTCCGCCAGTACAAATTAGAAATCTTTTGCAGGAACTGGGCATGGCTAGTCTAGCGAAGGGAAGGACCAAGGGAGACATGATAGCAGTGTTCCAATATTTGAGGGGCTGCCACAGAGAGGAGGGGGTCAAGCTATTTTCCAAGGCACCTGAAGGCCAGACAAGGAATAACGAATGGAAACTGATCAAGGGGAGATTCAACCTGGAAATAAGGAGAAATTTTCTGACAGTGAGAACAATCAACCCATGGAACAGAAGTTGCCTTCGGAAGTTGTGGGAGCTCCATCACTGGAGGCTTTCAAGAAGAGACTGGACTGCCATCTGTCAGAAATGGTGTAGGGTCCTCTGTTTGAGCAGGGGGTTGGACTAGATGACCTACAAGGTCCCTTCCAACTCTGTTAATCTGTTAAACCTGGTCATGATAGCAGGAAACCCTACTAACGCATTAGAACATTATATTGAGGGAAGCTACTTTAACACATTATCCTCTGCCTTCAGAGTAGAGCAAAATTATTACCAAATTGTATTCTTTGATATGATAGATGTGGGATAATTATTCAATGTATTACTGAAATAGTTATAATTGCTTAACGCATTGTAAGATGCCCTGAGTCTCCGGAGAAGGGCGGCATATAAATCAAATAAAAAAAAAAAAGGGAATCCACATTAAATACATTATATATTAATGGAAATAAAACTGAAGAAAAATTGGACATTGCTCTGTGCTCTACTTTCAGAATGGGACAACTCTTCATGGCCAACCCACTGCAGGATAACTCCACAGGGCCAATTCACTGCAAGGACAACTCGCCACAGGCAGTTGGCGGGAGAGCTGGATAGGCAGGCGAGTGAGCAGGAGGGCAGAGCGCATTAGGGGGGGGCGGGAGGCAGTCAGGGTTTCCCATTTTCACACCTGTCCGTCTGAGCCCGGTATAGCAGGGGCAGCAGCGGTTCCGAGCCTGGCGCGGTGGTAGCGATGGCTCCGAACCTAACGTGGCGGCAGCAGGGGTGTGAAAATGGGAAGTCCCCTGCCCGTTGGGCTCTGCACTCTGCCCACCCACTCGTCTGCCTGCCCGGTTCTTCCTCTGGCTGCCTGCGGCAACTTGTCACCATGGCCTGAGTTGGTCACGTGGAGTTGTCTTGTGGCAAGTTGGCAGAGAGGAGTTGGCATGGTGAACTGGCGGCAGCAAGTTGGCCACGGCGAGTTGGCCAAGGTGAGTTGTCCTACACCCTTCTATTTTTTGAAGAATACATTTCAACATGCCATTGTTGGAAGAAATATCCACCTGGTCCAGTTCCAAACTGGGAGAAAGACACTGGAAACATGGAGGGTTCTGGGTAGCTGACCACATGGAGTTGAGAGTGGAGGGTTTTTATACCTTTCCTTGGGCTTTGCACTTGAACCTCCTGTTCCTGTGAAAGAACGTGTATGCTATTGGCTGTTGTCAGACTCCTATGGGGCCATGCAGGGGTTATGTAGGGGTCATAGCTGGCTTTATAGGCAAAGTACAAATCCTAGGTGTTTGTCCGAGCTAAATTTGGTTGAAGTTTGGTCTTCTCTGAGATGATTCAATGAAGGAGCTTGTGTTCTGAAAGGGTGTTAGGCAATTCCTATTGTGGCTTAATGGCTTTGTCCTGCAGGATAATCCCATCATCCTGGAGCTGAAGGTCTTTTGTTTTGTAGATAGGCTGATCCAGTCTTTCTTAATGGGCACAAAATATCTGCTGTGGGCTATTTATTTATTTATTTATTTATTTATTTATTTATTTATTTATTTTTAATTTGATTTATATGCCACCCTTCTCCGGAGACTCAGGGCGGCTTACAATGCGCTAAGCAATAGCTATTAAGGCTGAGTATGCTTCCTGCCTCTAAAAGAAAACATGTTTCTCCATTTCTCATTTAGTGAAATATAATATTCTGCCTTTTTAATATTCTTCAAAATATTTCATTCTTCTAGGAGGGGGGTGGCTTCCCACACCATTCAAAGGCCCATAGCATAATTGTCAAATACTCTAGGTGGGCAATTTAGGAGTGTTTTCCTTAAAAACTATTTTAATTGGGATAATACAGCTCACAAATCCCATTCATTTTAGGGCAAAAATAAAGGAATAATCAGGGTTTACTATCAGGGTGCTTCTCGTTGAATTCCTCATTAAGAGAAACAGCTCCAGAAATAGACTACACAAGGTTAGACAGCATACTGGAAACCACACACACTCCTTATTAGTGTCACATATCACAGTCTCAGTATGATGCAAGGGAAACTTCAAAGAGGAAGAAGAAAATTCATTATCTTCCTGCCCCCACATAATTGTAGTTCTGCAGCACAGCAAGCATTCATATACCCATGAAAGTGAATCTGCCTAATTAATTGGAGAACAAAAACCCAGCACCACACATTGTGTTATATCATGTTTGTAGCGGGTAAATTTCCCTGTTAGATTATTTATACAAAATCTCACTTTGAATTAGCTGGTGTTCCTCATTAAAAGGCTCCTCCATGCAAATTCACCTAACTTACTTCTGATTCCAACTTCAGGTATGTAAATAAACACTTGTGAATTCTGGTTTTCTAAACATTCCAGATGAATTCAGGATTAAATCCCACTGAATTCAACAAAGTGTATTTCTCAGTAGACATGTCGAAAAATAGCAGCCACAGTATGTTCTTGTCCAGCCATATTATGGAAAGATTCTTTTACAAATCGATCAAAACAATATCTTGATTGAGTTTGCCTGAGTTACAGTTAACTGTGTCATATAAAGACGTAGCAATTGTGGATCGTGACTTTAATGCGGGTTCATTTTAAGTGTTATGTGTTATGAATTCCTAGTCCACATTATTTATTTATTTAGTTATTTGTTAATTTATTATTTTTATTAAAATATTTGTAAATAAAATATGTGTAAAAATATTATTTTTACAAATAATTCAAGAAGGTGAACCTTCCTCCTCCTATTTTCCCCGCAACAACAACCCTATGAGGTAGGTTGGCTGAGAGAGGGGGGGAGGGGGGAGAGAGAGAAAGAGAGACACAGAGAGAGACAGAGACAAAGAGAGACAGAGACAGAGACAGACAGAGACAGAGAGACAGAGAGACAGAGAGACAAAGAGAGACAGAGACAGAGAGAGACAGAGAGAGACAGAGACAGCGAGACAGAGAGAGAGACAGAGACAGACAGACACAGAAAGAGACAGAGAGAGAGACAGAGAGAGAGAGACAGAGACAGAGACAGAGACAGAGACAGAGACAGAGAGACAGAGAGAGAGAATCATCCAACTGATTTTCATGGCTAGGGAGGAACTTGAACTCATGTTCTCCTGCTTTCTAGTCTGGTGCCTTAAACCACTATACCAAACTGGCATTATGATTCAAAAATAGCATACAAGTCCCAGAAAGCAGGTTTTAAGGATTCAAGTTAACTATGTTATGCAATTCCAGCATATAAACCATTTGTCCACACAACAAATAGGAAACTTTAAAACCCCAGGCCGGGTCACCATGCTGTTGCCAAGTGATTCTAAAATCAAATGACAATATAATTGATATTTAATTATTTTAAATTAATTAAATTAATTATTTAATTAATTTAATGATTGCTATTTAATTGATACGTGTATGTTCATTGCATTTTTTCGGAGGTTTGCCAATTTATTTAAAAAAAAACAAGATGCAAGGAAAGCAATATTACGCTAGCGCCGTGGACTAATTTGTCACCCCCAACATCAGTGCCACACTATATATCCTACGGCCCAGAGCTCTTAGGTAACCCTTCATAAAACAGCTGTAATGCTGAACAATGTTTTACCTCACAACAGCAAACAGTAGCAAACCTGGGTTAGGGAACGAAACGGTAGGGACAGGGGTGCTATTTAGCAGGTTCTGACAGGTTCTGGAGAACCGTAGCGGAATTTTTGAGTAGTTCGGAGAACCAGCAAATACCCACCTCTGTTTGGCCCCAGAGTGGGGTGGGAATGGAGATTTTGCAGTATCTTTCCTCCAGGAGTGGGGAGGGAATGGAGATTTTGCAGTATCCTTCCCCTGCCATGCCCACCAAGCCACGCCCACAGAACCGGTAGTAAAAGAATATGAATTCCACCACTGGGTAGGGATGTAGAACATAACAAAAGATTCAATCAGCTAGCTCTTTAATCTGCAACAAGGTTATATAAATGCAAACTACAAGGTGCAGTTGCATTTTTTTTTTTCCTCACTGCAAATTGTACCTATAGTATTTATTTATTTTTCTGAAGCTGTCTTGTTGTTTTGCTTTAACAACCCAAAGGAAAGCGAGGATGGTAATTTCAAGGCACTCACCTTCTCCAAAGAAGCCCGGTGCTTGTGGTTAGAGCTGTTGTTCCTGCAAAGGCTACCATCATAAGCCTGCGCCGGCTTTGGGGATAACGAGCGGTACCAAAATGGCGCCTGGAAGTGACAGCCAAGGCCGCCATAGCAGGGAGGAGACGGAATCGCAACATTCTGGGAAAGGAAATAAAGAAAAGCGTAAGAACAAAAGCATCAGCACGGCTTAGGTTTTGAGAGCACTTCTGGATTTTTTTTGCTTGAGAAAGATGAAAAGGAAGTTTTGCTTTTAAGCTTTGATAATTAGATTTGTTATGACTGTAGGTTGCCCTCGACTTAACAGAGCCCAAAATTTGCTAAACAAGGCAGTTGAGTTTTGCTCCAATTTATGACCTTACGACCGTCACAGTTAAGCAAATCGTGTGAGCGTTATGAAAATCTGGCTTCCCTCACTGACTTTGCTTGTCAGAAGCCGGCTGGGAATAGAATAGAATTTTTTTATTGACCAAGTGTGATTGGACACACAAGGAATTTGTCTTTGGTGCATAGGCTCTCAGTGTACATAAAAGAAAAGATACCTTCATCAAGAATCATAAAGTACAACTCTTAATGATAGTCATAGGGTACAAATAAGCAATCAAATCATATTAGGAAACAGTCAATATAAATCGTAAGGATACAAGCAACAAAGTTACAGTCATACAGTCATTAGTGGAAGGAGATGGCTGATAGGAGGTTACAAATGGTGTAACCCCAGGACAGTGCAAATGTCAACCCTGAAGTTGGCCGAACTGTGGCCATTTTCTTTTTGGTAGTTTCCTCTAGGGAGGTTTCTCTTCTCACTGCTTTAGGGCTGACACAGCCTGGAGTGAAGGGGCCAGGGTGGGGGTTGTAGAGATAGCTGGGGTGTTGTAGCCAAAATAAAATTCTTTCCCCTGGGAATCAAGGACGTTGGTGCAGGAGTTCAAAAGGTGGAGACTGAGGTCACCCCGCAACTGGACTGTATGCTGATTGGACCATGTGATTGGAGACTCTGGGGGGAAGTAACAAAGTTTTAGTTTTAATTGGGTGTAAAACTGGCGAGAACTTAGAGCCGGTTTTCCACGAGGAAATGTGCCAATTTGATATGTCCCAATAAAATGTTCTTTGAGGAATTTGCCTACCTCGGAGTTCTTATTGAATGGGATGTATTACTTGGAACCTTGACAGCAAATGTCATAAATACATACCAGTTGCCAAGCATCCAAATTTTGATCACGTGACTACCATGGGGATGCTGCAATGGTCATAAGTGTGAAAAAGTGGTCATAAGTAGCTTTTTTTCAGTGCTGTTGTAACTTCGAACAATTACTAAACGAATGATTGTAAGTCAAGGACTACCTGTGTAGACATATTGAGTATTTTTATTGTTATTATTAGATATTTTACATTTTTAATGGTTTATGTTTAAACTTAGAGTAAGTGGTTTTTTTTGTATAGGATTTTAGTGGGGGTTTTTTTGGATTGTGTAGTTTGCATACTGTGTATAAGATACTTTTATTTTAATTTAGAGTAACGGGTTATTTTATTATATATTTGTATCTGTAGTGAAGAAAGTGGGAAGTCACTGTTTTTCTATCCCTTTCCCTTTTTTTCCCCTTTGTCTCTTTTTAACTTTCTCCTCCCTTTTAATCTTGGTTGTTACTGTTGTTGTTTTGTACTTTATTTTTCCTCTGAAACTTCATAAAGTTGGTTAAAAAGACAAGAGCAGCTTCAGTTTTGAACTGTGCAGATCCAGGGGTCTTTGAAGAAACTAGAAAGCTGCAGTGTTCACCTCCTTTTCAATCTTGTAGCAAAACAAAAAAATCAACAACACAAGCTAGCTTGTTAAGCTTCACAATTTACCACTGAACTTCCTAAACCCTGGCAGAATTTCTACTCTAATTCAGGGATAATCATCTTGTAGGCAGCCAAGCAAGTTGAACTCCATGTCATAGAAATTATCATCAAACCGAGATGTCAAGTCATAGTCAGTCTGAAGCTGGTGTATTAGATATAAATTTCAACTGCTGGAGAGTGGCTGAAATGTAGACAAAGGCAGCGCCTGTTTGGAAACGAGTCCAAAAGATGACAAACCAAGAAGAAAAGGAACTAGAAGACACTCCAAGCAGGCCACTGGGAGACACCTGGAAAGTCAGATTCCTAGCGTTGGTTGCACAAAATTCCATTTTGGGCCTAGGGCTGATGATCTTAAAAGGGAAGATTACGCATCACCTCAGTCTGCTGTCTAGGATGCTTTGGTTTGATTCCTGGCAACCCAAAACGTAGCCTGATGCTATAATAACAACAACAACTACTACTACAACTACTACTACTACTACTTTATTGTCATTGTACGTGTATACACAGTATACCCATACAACGAAATTCACTTAACACCCAAAGACCAGGTCCAACACACATAACAATCCCCAAACCCTCACCACCACCACAAATTCCCCACCCCTAAACCACCCAAACATCAACACAACAGACCAAATAATACTGTCCAACAGCTCACTGATGGTGGCCCTTTAGTTCATTGTTGAGTGCAATTATAGCTCTGGGATAAAAACTATTCAGAAAATGTGTGATCCGAGTTTTAATTGTTCTGTATCTTCTGCCAGAAGGCAACAGTCCAAAAAGATTGTAAGCAGGATGGGAAGAGTCTCTGAGAATGTTATGCAACTTCCTCAAACAGCGAGATTCGAAGATGTCGTCCAGGGCTGGTAGCTGGAGCCTGATGATATTCTGGGCAGTTTTAATGATTCTCTGTAGAGCTTTTCTGTCCGCTACAGAGCTGCTCCCATACCATGCAAGAATGCCGTATGTCAGGACACTCTCAATGGTGCTGCGATAGTAGGACAGAAGGAGATGCTGAGATAGATTTATCTTCCTGAGCATTCTCAGGAAGAACAGCCTCTTCTGTGCCTTCTTCCCAAGCATGTTAACATTCATAGTCCATGAGAGGTCCTCCGAGATATAAATGCCCAGAAATTTAAAACTACCAACCCTCTCCACCTCCTCACCATTTATGTACAATGGTAAATGCTTTCTAGATGTCCTAAATTACACATCTAGTCAGTCCCAGCCAGAATATCCAGAGAATATTGCTTTCATAGTTTGGTCACCACATTATAAAAAAATACGTTGAGACTTTGGAAAAAGTGCAAAGAAGAACAATTAAGATGATTAAAGGCCTGGAGGGGGAAAAAACCATATGAAGAATGTTGCAGGATTTGGGTTTGGCTAGTCTAGAGAAAAGAAGGACTATATGATAGCAGTATTCCGGTACTTGAGGGGCTGCCACAAAGAAGAGGGGGTCTAATTATTCTCCAAAGGACCAGAGGGCAGGACAAAAAACAATGGATGGAAACAAATCAAGGAGAGAAGCAACCTGGAATTAAGGAGAAACTTCCTGACAGTGAGGACAATTAACCAGTGGAACAGCTTGCCTTCAGACAGTCGCTTGTCTGAAATGGTATAGGATCTCCTGCTTGAACAGGGGGCTAGACTAGAAGGCCTCCAAGATCCCTTCCAGCTCTATTCTGATTGACTGACTGACTGACTGACTGATTGTTAAGGAGATCCTGTTTCAAGTCTACAGTACTTTCATTCATGGAAAATTGTTAGGTGATTCTGAATCACACACCTTTCTTTAAAAACCTCATAGGGCTGTTGGTATGACTAATAAAATGAAGGGAGATCCCCAGGTAATCTAACAATAGAACTAATCCAATCAACAAAATTTCCAATCCAAAGTAACTGGAGGGCACCAGTTTATGGAACGATTAGTTTACATTGTGAAAGTACTCACTGACGTATCTGTCATGGAATCAAACCCAACCTGGTCTTTGCATCATAACCCAACTACTGCAATACACTACAAATGTGTATGTTTTGTGTAAACCCTAACAAAAATATAACAACAATAGGCAGTGGCCAATAATTATGGAAATAACCCAGATAATCTACCCTAAATTTTTTTATTTGAAGATTTAGAGATCTACACATGTAGCACTATCAAGTCTTCATAGAAATCTCAACAATACCTGAAAGCTTCCAGATTCCATGTGTTTGTGTGTGTGTTTCAGGGGTGAAATGCTCCCGGTTCGGACCGCATCACCCGATCCAGTAGCGATGGTGGCGGGTGGTTCGGAGAACCAGTAGCAAAAATCCCTGCGCCTCCACCCCCCACCATCTCCAGCTGAGCTGCACGATCATCAGAGGCATTTTTTTCTTCCTGTTAAAAGCATTTTTTCTATACCCCTTTCCGACGAAAAAATGCTTTTAAAAGTAAAAAAACCCGCCTCTGATGATCGCGCGGCTCAGCTGGGATAGTCAGAGGCTTTTCAAAGCATTTTTTTCTGCAACCTCTTGGCCGAAGAGGTGGTAAAAAAAATGCTTTAAAAAGTCTCTGACGATCCCAGCTGAGTTGCCTGATTGTCAGAGAGGCATTTTTTAAAAAGCCTCTCTGACGATCCCAGCTGAGTTGCCTGATCAGCAGAGAGGTACTTTTTAAAATGCCTCTCTGACGATCCCAGCTGAGTTGCCTGATCGGCAGAGGCTTTTCAAAGCATTAGAAAAAATGCTTTGAAAAGTTTAAAAAACAAAAAAAGTTGGCCACACCCACCATCACATTACCCCCACCACCAAGCCACGCCCACAAAACCGGTAGTAACAAATTTTACATTTCATCCCTGGTGTGTTTGTTTGTGTGTGTGTGTGTGTGTGTGTGTGTAGAATTTCTCTCCCTGATGTACCCATTGTGACTCCCAAATCATATTTTCTTTTGCATATTATACAAATGGAAATATAGTTTAAGTAGGAAACTTTGCTAGGTAAGGAAAGTGCAATTTAGTGTGGTTGCCCTCTCTAGAGAATGCAAAAATAGTAACGTTGCCTAACATTCTGTAGCATATTCATTAGTAATTAAGATGTTCTTTTAATAAAAGCTCGTGTTTCCTATTTAAAAAAGTCCAGTTTATTGGCCAGATTATTATAGAAAGAAAAATGGAAAGCTGGCCACTGAGCTAAATAGTATTTAAACATGAACTCTTTAAAATGGAAACGACGTCTCTGAACACAAATAACAATCTATCTCAGAGGTACCCATGGGAATTGCAAAAATGGAAACAATTCATATAAGGATCACTTCA